CGCGCAAGATGGCCCCGCATATAACCACTTAAGACAGGCCCCCGGACGCGAGTTGGAACCTACCTGGGCCACGTCCATCACGCGGAGGGGCGAGTCTGGCCGACCACTATCGCATGCCACTTGGCCAGCTTGATGCATTCAATTTCAAGATAGGCGTAAAGAAGGACGGGCGGAGACCTATCGTAGAAAGGCCAGAGCAGATGTGGGCTAACATTGGCGTCGAGGCGGTGGTCGAGACGGGTCAAGACGCAGTGGCGGGCGACGGGCATCCGGGGAGGGGCCTCTGGGAGCTGCCGTTCATTTCCCGCTGAGGAAGGCCTGTGACCTTGCGTCTACGACGATGCCCTCGGTCAATATGGGAGACCTGCTGTCCAGAGACCACGTCGCCGACGGCGAGCAGAAGAAGCCCCCCAACGGTTGCCAGTCGTCCGGGAGGGGGCCCGCGTCGTCGAGCGGACCAGCCGGAAGCAAGGCTGCGGTAGGAATGCCGCCGTCTCCTGCCCGCGACGAGGGGGCGGGAGAGGCGGCCGCGGACGTGGCGGGGGAAGGCCCGACGGGCGATGATGGACCCTCTGGGCCCCCGCCCGCTCCACCGCTGCCCGCGGGGGCCGGGCGGAGAGCTGTGCGTTGCATCAGTGCCGGGGGGGGGGGCTCGCTGGCCAGGGGGGAGGTCGCTCCGCCCCGGATAGGGGAGGGCCGAAGTTTGAGCAAATCATGGCACCAACCACCCAGAACTGTCAGACATATGAATATTTCCATCGCGAAGAGCTCAGTCAGCCTCTACCATTAACGGGCAGGAGCAAGACGACACAGGCACGCGCGGCTTCCTATTGCGACCCGCGACATCGCGCCCCCGACGCCGCGGAGACGGAGGATCTTGCGCTTGGAGAGCCCATGGTTGAAGAGGACTCAGAAGGATTCGACGAATCCAGGCGGCGGAAAATGGGGGGCCCAGCTAGGGCGGACGGGATTGCCGAGTTCAAGGCAGAAGGGGGAGGATTCTACGGACTCGAGGACCCAGGGCCGAACGCTGACTTGCTGCAAGAGATCGGTATCACCACTCCGCGACCCCTGGTCAAATGCGTCATGTCGGCCGTGGGCGGGGAGCGTCCATTCCCCTTTTCGTCGGGCAGCTATCCCCGTGACGTTGCGGCAAACGGTGATGGGGGGGGTGCCTGTCGTGGCGTGAATGGCCCGGGCGCCGACCTCGGCTCTTATCCCGGAAGCAAGACTGCACGGGGCTCCGCGGGATCGACCAGCGCGGCGGCGGCCGGCGGGCGCTGCGGCCCTCGCGCGCCCCTGAGACGACAAGATGCGAGCAGTTTTCAGCACCGGGAGAAACGAACGTGGATTAAGACCGCGCTACAACCCCTTCACGGACAACTGTGATCGATGTGACGAGTCGCCTCCGTCTACTATGCCATCCAAGTGGGTCACGGATGCGTCCAGCGCTGCCTGCGTCAACAGACCAGCTTCTAAGGCCGAGGCGGCGAACGACGAAGGGGCCGCCGCCGCATTGAAACAGGAATTGGGTAGACTGCGCGAGATTAAGGCGTGGGGCGAGAGCAAAGTAGTGGAGTTGAGTCGACTACGGAAAATGATCGGGGGGCGATACCTTCCACATTGACCGGCCCTTCGCCGCCCTCGTCGAAAATAACGCCGAGCTACCAGAAGGACATGAGGGTAGGAAGTTCAAGGGGCGCGTTGCTCTCGACGGACCCGACGTCATCGATCAAGACAAGAGCGTAGAACGTGGCACTATTTCAAGAGCTCTCGTCTTGTCCCTGCCAAGATGCAGGCTAGCTCGCCGCCGATGCCTTCGGGCTCGCGCGCTCAGTCGTTGTTGGGCGGGGCGCCCACGTGGGCCAGACTACCGAAGGAAGCATGGCCCCAGAGCTGGGCGGATATGTGCGACTCACTATATATATATATGCCCTTTGCGACTGGCGGCATACGGCCATCCTGGCGGAGAAGCACTGCACATGTCATATATGAAGGTTCTGAACCGATCCCGTCATGGCTCAGTTGTTATTGCCACCTGGAGCTGACGCTCTTCTTGATAGTGTACGTTGATGATTTCAAGTTAGCCGCTTTGGCCGGAAACATACAGACATGTTGGGGCCTCATCCTGAGCCCTTTCGGGTTCGGAGGCTGCACCCAAAGACATTGATGTAGATCCAGCCACGCCAGCGGGGTGATGCCCTGGGGGTCGCAAGGGGGCGTGGCATGAAGGGGTGCGGTGCCAATGCTGAGAAAGATTTTGCATCTACGGTAGCCGCAAGTGCGTTGCGTCCCCATGTCGACAACGATGGCTTGACGCGGACCGCCTCAAGCAACGTCAGAGCTCTTGGTTCCAATTTCCCCAAACGACCGCAGGCTCATGTGAACGGCAACACTACACCTGTTCCCGGGCACCCGATCACCGAGCACGAAATTCCGGAAACTCCTAATCGCGAAAAGCGCCATCCCGGAAATTCCGTATTGCCCAAAACGTAGTTCCGGAAGTTCCGAAATTTAGGAATGGTGTTTCTTCCAGTACAAACCATAATTCCGGAAATTCCAGAGTCTCCATAATCGCGTGCTTCGCGATACGGCGTCATGGATTGTTTTTTTCCTTACCTAGGCTCTGCCCAGAAGGGTTCTTACTAGGAGGCTTAAAGGGGCCGGGCAGTGGGGCGCGCCCCGGGCGGTTCCCCCAGGATCCGCCCCGCGGTTCCCCCAGTGACGTTCCCTTAGCTTCGCGTTGCGTATCTCATCTTAGCTTAGCTTATTTCATCTTACCTTAGCTCGGCTTCATCTTACTTCAGTTCTATCTTAGCTTAGCTTACCTCCATCTAGCTTCCGCGAGCTTCAGCATCGCATAGCACAGCATAGCACAGCATAGCGTAGCAGAGCGTAGCATAGCATCGCGCAGCATCGCATCTCATAGAATAGCATAACATAACATAGCCACTCCTCGCATTGTATATCATAGCATAGCGCAGTATATCATATCATATCATATCATGGCATAGCATATCATAGCAGAGTATAGCATAGCTTAGCATAGCATAGCATAGCCCAGCGTAGCACAGCGCAGCATGACATAGCATAGCTTATCAGATCATAACATAGTATTGCGTGGTATGGCATAGCATGTCATAGCATAGCATAGCATAGCGCAGCATATCATGTCATAGCATAGCATAGCATAGCCACGAATGCTGCTTTCCTAGGGGCTCCAACTTCTAGGTCGGGCCGCACTGGGGTAATTTTTGTCGTCGTTCAGATTGGACGGTGGCCGCTTGGGGAATTGGACTTATTCGATCGACTTGGTTTGCAGTGGTCGACGCGAAACCAGCGTTGTTGAACGCAGCCGCAGAAAGTTGCGGCAGTTTCGCACCGCGCAGACCCCAGGGACGGCGAGGTCTCAGTCCGATGTGCATAGGACGTCACTCTGCTGGACCCCCCAACATCCTTCGAAAGTGGCGACCGTTTCGCAGATCGCAGGACCCAGGGACGGCGAGATGTCATTCCGATGTGTTTAGGACATCATTATGCTGGACCTCCCTAGCAGCCCCCGAACGTGGCGGCAGTTTCGCAGTTCGGAAGACCCCAAGGATGGTGAGCACTCATTCCAATGGAACCCCCAACGGACTTCGAACGCGCCGACAGCTTCGCAGTTCGGCAGCCCCTAGTGATGGCGAGGTGTCATTATGCTGTGCGTGGGACGTCACTACGCTGGGCCCACCAGCAGCCGTCGAAAGTGTCGACCGTTCCGCAGTTCGCAGCCCCCAGAGACGGTGAGGTGTCATCCGGATGTGCGCAGGACGTGAATATGGTGGTCCTCCCAGCAACCCTCGAAGGAAGCCACAGTTTCGCAGCTCGCAAACCCCCAGGGACGGCGATGTTTCATTATGCTGTGCGTTGGACGTCATTATGTTGGACCTCCCCACAGCCCCGACATCAGCGGTGGTTTCACAGTTCGCAAACGCCCGGGACGGCGAGGTCTCATTCTGATGTGCGCAGGCTTCATTATGCTGGACCGCCCAGCAACCCTCGAAAACGGCGACGGTTTCGCAGTTCGCAGCACCCACGGACGACGAGGTCTCATTCTGGTGTGCGTAGGACGTCCCTGAACTGGACCCCCTAGCAGTCCTCCAGAGAGGCGACTAGCTCGCACTTCGCAGCTCCCAGGGACGGCGAGGTCTCATTCTGATGTGAGTAGGACGTCACTATAGTGGACACACCAGCAGCCCTCGAACGTGGCGACGGTTTCGCAGTTTGGTAGCCCCCAATGACCGCGAGGTCTCGTCCCGATGAGCGTCGAACGTCACTGTGCTGGATCCCCCAGGAGCCCACGAAGTGGCGACAGTTTCACATTTCGAGTGGCGACAGTTGCGCGATGCGCGGCCTCCCAGGGAGCAGCGCAGGGGGAGGGAGGGAGGAGGAGGGAGGAGGAGGAGGAGGAGGAGGAGGAGAGGAGGAGGAGGTGGAGGAGTTTGACGAGGAGGAGGAGGAGGAGGAGGAGAAGGAGGAGGAGGAGGAGGCCCGAGGAGGACGAGGACGAGGACGAGGAGGAGGAGGACGAGGAGGAGGAGGGCGACGAGGAGGAGGAGGAGGAGGAGGAAAAGGAGGAGGGGGAGGAGGAGGAGGAGGAGGAGGAGGAGGAGGAGGAGATGGAGACCACAGCGCTGTATTCAAAACGAGAATCCAACACACAGGAGGGTTGGGAAAAAGACTTGCCGACCCGTGGATTTCTCAGGGTCGAATTCCGTGGAGGCTATGGGTGTGTGTGTGTGTGTGTTGTTGGGTGGGTGCCCCCGCTCGAACGGGAGATCCCCTCAGGGTCCGACAGCCCGCACCCATACTTATAGCGCCTTGCATGTCTCTGCCCTTCCCCACTCCTACTCCCTAGAGGTTTGAGCGTGTGTGGTTCCTGCATCAAGACCAGCAGCGCCGAGTCACCGCGGGCCTCGAGCCCCCCGCGCTGTCGCACCCCTCTGCCCCTGCAGCGCCAGGCAGCGCGACCGAGCCGCGCGGCTCCTCGGCGGGGGGGTCGTGTGGCCACGCGGGGAGGGGCAGCGTCGAAACATGGCCTCCTCCTCCTCCTCCTCCCTCCTCCTCCTCCTCCTCTCCTCCTCCTCCTCCCCCCTCCCACTCCACCTCCTCCCTATCCTCCTCCTCCTCCTCTTCCTCCTCCTCCTCCTCCTCCTCGTCCTTTGTGTGCTCCTCCTCGTCCCCACGCGGAACCGGCTGGGGTCTGAGGTGGCCCAGCACCGGCTCCGGCCAGCAAGAAGAGAGGGCGAGGTTCGGGGTCGTGGGCTCGAGAAGGTTGTTTGCTCGTTTCGGCCTCGGGGGCCTCCTTCGGGCCCCAGGACCGTCGGTCGAAATCGGATTTGGGTTGAAACATTTCACCCGATGGATCCCGAGAGGGGTCTGCAGACCGATATTGGGCAGACTTGCCTCATCCCCTCCCCCCCCATTTAAGGGGCAACGATAGGGGGGATAGACAGAAGGGGGCGATGCATCCACCCCCAACCGCCCATTGGTCGCCGGTAGGGGCCCGACAGCCCCGACCTGCCCAGGAAGGTGCGGATTCACGATCGGAGGCCTATCGTCGATCTATCGGCGACGTATCGCCGATTCCAGGTCGATGCATCCTCCCTACCGTTGCCCCTCAGTAACTTTCCCCGTTCTCTTGGGGCTCCGAGCCCCTGGCCGCCCCCAGGGGTCGAGAGCGCGGGCTCCCTCGCCGAGGGGGCCCACGGACCCGTGGAGGTGCCGAGGACGAAGAAAAACTCCAAGGCGGAGAGGCCAAGCACGAAGATCCCGAGGGTACCCCTCGCAGGCACGGCCCGTGCTCGATCCCCGTGGAGGGCCCACGGAGGTGCCGAGAACGAAGAACGCTCCAAGGTGGAGAGGCCAAGCACGAAGATCCCGAGGGTACCCCTCGAAGGCACGGCCCGTTCTCGATCCCCGTGCCAGCGGTAGGCACGGCGACTGAGCCAGCAAAGACCAGCCATGAGCTTGTCCACGCGCAGGAGTGCTGGCCTCAGCTGCACTCACCTCTCCCCTGATCTTCGAGGATGCCGCGACGAAAGAGCATGCACCTGAGGAGACGGTTGATGATGAGGCAGTGGTGGAATAGAAGACGTGGGCAGGATGCATAGCATGATGGCAACTCGTGTGCACAAGCGCGTGCGAAAGTGTATTCGATGTAGTGGGCGGATGGCAAAACAGCCAGCGAGGTGTCTACGAATGCAGAGATGCACGAGACACCGTGCAGCCTAGAGACATAAACAACCAACAGATGTGGCAAGTAACAGAAGATATTGGCATTCACTGGGGCATCCGCATGGGAAGTGTGGTTCTCAGACAGTGTGGTGAGGCAGACAGAGAAGACGCGGGCATTGGTGACCAGCAGCAAAGGCATGTATCATACACGTACATAGCCACGAGTATCTGTACATGCATATGCACACAAGCAGATTCGACAAGCAGCCAGTAGTGAGAGCCTCTGATCCCCCATCGGGGCCCTCTTGAGGCCCTTCTGGGCCGTCTTAGGGGCTCTCTCTTGGGCCATCTCCGGGCCCCTCCCCCCCTTTGGGTGTTGGAGCCCTTCTTGCGCCCTTCTCGAGACATCTCCGAGGCCGCGGAGGGCGGAATTCGCAGCCTCCGAGGGCCAAAGAGGTGCGCCGGGGAGCTCGCCCCCCGCCCCGCCCCCCTCTTGGAACGGGGTCGGGGATTCTAGAGGAGGGGGGGAAAGGAGGAATGGGACAGCCAAATGTACCACACGCCATCTCTCGTAGAGGGAAAAACCACATAAGCATAAACGTTTGGCCCTCCGCGCGGATTTCTTGGATCTGCGTTGGGCCCCCTCCCGGCTGCGCCTCCTGCGCCGCCCCTGGCGCGTTCCGCGCGCCAGGGAGGGGGGTCCGGCGCGGATCCAAGAAATCCGCGCGGGCCTCAAAAAGTTTATGTTTATGCGGTTTTCTGTTCATCTGTTCTCACCCCCCGGCAAGCGGGGGCCAACGGGTCGATAATTCATTCTCGATGCGCCACCAGACGCGTCCGTCAAGCGGTCTCGGCACTGCGCCTGGTTTTCCTCACCACCTATGATCTGGAAGCTTGTCGTTACCACTTAGATGCACTGGTGGATGTCTCAGCGTCTACAAAAGTATGGCTTTCGCCGTTGGCGCCGTTCTAATTCGGTTTGAGATGCTTCCAGCAGCTACAAGACAGAGGACGGCTGATTGTCCTCAAAATGCGGCTCTCGCTTCGGCGCGGCGCACATTCGGTTCAGATGTATCCAGCATCTACGCAGATGGAGGCCAAATCATTTTCAAAACGTGGCGCTCTCGGTCTCTCTCTCTCTCTCTCTGCAGCGCCGCGCACATTTGGTTGAGTGGTTGAGCATCGGCTCCCCACAGCTGCGCGGATGGAGGGCGGCAGGTTGTTAAGATGTGGTCCTCCCGACAGTGCCGCACACATCACCCACTAGCTTGCCAAAAGCAGCGCAGATGGAGGGCGGCTCAGTGTCGAAACGGGCCCCTCGCTCAAGGCTGGCTTTGATTCTTCGGCCAGAAGTTCAAGATGGTGCAGCAGTTCTGCAGATCGAGGGCGGCTCCTCTTCACAGTGAGCTTCTTGCGCGAGACGCTCCCAAAGCCTGCGGCACGAAGGGCGGAGGAATGTGGCAAGGCGTGCTCAGAAGTGCATCGGGGGCACGCTGGCCGCGCACCACCTCTCCCCTCTCCTGCCCTCCGCTCCCCTCCCTCACTCGCTCCCCTCCCCCAGCCGGAGCTGTGAGGGGAAGCGCGCCGGGCGCTCTCTGCACCGCGCGCGCGCACGGACAGTCGTGCGCACGCCGTCGGTCTTCACGGCGCGCGCGCCGCGCCACGCCTTTGAGGCGAGAGGAGCAGGGATGCATCGCCCGCGCCGGCAAGGGGAGGCAGAGCCGCGCACCGCTCTGCACGAGGGCGTCGACGAGGACTGCCGCCCCGTCTCCCTCGCCCCCCTCCATCCCTTCCACCCTCTCCGGCCTCTCTCCCACGGTCGAGCCGGATATAGCAGGCCAGCCCTGCCGAATCACGAGGTTAGGTTATCCGGATGTTTGGTGCAGGGGCTGTGTGATCGGAGGAGCCCTGTGTCGCCTCGCATACCCTATGACATCAAGCTCGACGGGGCCATGCTCGTCCGTCCCGCCTCCCGCTGGCAGCCCCCCCCCCCGATGCCTGATTCGATCCCCGCTTCTCCCCCTCCCCTCCCCAGACATCCAACGTCTTTGTTTAGATCGCTACGCGACTCCCCAGAAGTCTGGAACACATCCGTTGGGCCGACGTTCAATCTCGAGCCGTGTTTGGCAGCCACCGGGCTCGGCAAGGGCCCTCTGAGGCCGAAATCGGCAAGCGACTTCCGTTTTTGTTGTCCGCGGCGCAGGGGCTTATCGGCCCCTTCTTCCCTCCCCCCCCCCCTCCTGTTCCCTCCACCCCCCCTTGCCCGCAGCGTGCTCTTGCGTGAGCTTGTGCCCGCCTGCCCCCGCCGGAACGAGGAACATCCGAAGGGGGGGGGGGCATCTCCTCGCAGACGTCATGGGCATGTCAGGAGCAACGTTAGGGGCAATCGCATAGATAATAGTGTGGCCTCAATTGCGGTCTCCCCCTGAGAAGCCCAGAAGTTCTTTCCTGGAGCCTTGGGGCGATCATTGGGCTTCCTTGAGCCTCTCTTGGGGCTCCCTTGGGCCATCTTGAAGCCATCCTGAGGCCTCCAAAGCCGAAAGCGAAAAGACACACATAGCTATGCAGCATGATTTGGAAGGAGTTGGGCCTCTCGGGGGTTCCTTGCGAGGCTCCGTGGCCATTTGGAGCCGTCGTGAGGTTGTCTTGGAGCTTCTCGGAGGCGCGTTGGATGCTATCTAGAGGCGGATTGGGCTATATGTTGTACCATACTGGAGGTCATCTTGGGCTATCTGAGGCCGTCTTGGAGCCATCTTGGGACATCTTGGACTTTCCAACGACCTGCGGGGGGGTGGGGGGGGGAGGGTTCCAGGCCCAGGGAGAGGGGGTAGGGGGAGAGGTAAAGTTCACCCCGAAGGGGAAGAAGGAGGTTGGAAGAACTGACTCCGTAAACCACCCCAAGGGGCTGGCGGGATTCTGAACCCTAGCCTGCGTTTCACAAGCCTGACCTGCAAGGGTAGGGTTCACACACCCTTGGAAATAGAGCATCTTTTGCAGCGCGTGTTGAAGAGTCGTCTGGGTGATTTCCCTGGGGGTAGTTTTCCTTCCGCGAAAAATCTAGGGCGACGAACGCCATCACATTGATTTTCAAAGTTGCATGACGCTCCCCATCCTCCTAATCCTCCTGCTCCTCCTCCTGCTCCTCCTCCTCCTCCTCCTGCTCCTCCTCCCTCCTCCCTCCTCCCTCCTCCGTCCTCCCGCCCCCCTCCCCCCTCCCCCTCCCTCCCTCCCCACTTGCCCCATCCAGCCTGGCACCTGCAAGCGCAGCCCGCCGGGCCGCAGGAGCCGGCCTCGCTGGACGCGAACCTGGCCGCCCTCGCCAGCCTCACGAGGCTCCCTGGGGGGTGGTGCAGCTCAAGCAGTCGCGAAGCGTCTTGCCCTGTGTATTGACCGTAGGCCCACCGAATCGTGCTCTCAGAACTCTCTGTGGTTTGTACTATCAGAATATCTCCAGCTGAGGCAGTTCTGTTTTGAGCAAGCGGTGTCATCTTCGAAGAGCTTTTTCTTCCATTCGAGTTGACAAAAATGTCGTGGCAGGCCTAAAAGAATGCCGGGACGATTGGTCCTTGCTGGAGCAGCGGGCCTCAATCTGCGGGCACCCAGAGGAGGAGCAAGCCAGGGCTGAAGAAATAAAAAGATGACGAGATCCGAAGAGTGAAATGCATAAGCACGAACGTGTGAGGGCCCGCGCGGATTTCGTGGATCGGCGCTGGGCCCTTCTGGCGGCGCCTCTGGCGCCGCCCGATCCAAGAAATCCGCGCGAACTTCGAAAGTTCATGCTTATGCAGTGTTCTGCCCCTCTGGAGGTTGAAATAAATCGTGAGCGCTGGCCGAAATGTCGGCCAACTGGCGTCGCGTGGGGGACGCCGTGGTCGGCATGTTCCGGAAGAGCGCGCCAGCTTCGGCCGGATTTGGGGGACCAGAGGGGCCCGAAACCTCCATGCTGCCTGCTCTCGCCGGAGCGAACAGCGCCGACCTCGAGAATTGAGGCCCGCGCGCAGGTGCGTTTCAACCTGGCAATGCAGTGGACACCCGTGCCAAGAAGCACCCTGCTTGCCTTCTGAGTGCCCTGGGTTTCTTGGGTTTCGATGGTTTTGCGACGGAAAGCGTGTCGCTCCCGCACCAAACATCGATGGACGTCCTGGGGTCTCAGTGTTGGGTTTCTTGTGGGAGGTTTCTTGTGGCCGAGCTCCTACAGTCAACCCGCATAGTCAGGATGGGCAACATTCCCTAGGGCATCCTTGTCTCCTCAGTCGGTCCATCCTTGGCCACTTTCGTGGGCCGCGCCCCGCTCGAAAAGCTTTGAGCTGGGCGTCCAAGGCCCCTACACCCTCATCGCGCATCCTCATGCTACGGGCCGACTTGACTGATGTGCTCCAGTATTTCCGGGCCGTCTCTCTGTTCCGCGCGGGCTCCAGAGACGAGGCTGGGTAGTCGAAGGCCAGACTGTCAGACTGGATTGGGCCCCAAGGGCCAATCTGGCCTGGCCATATTGGATGATTAAGGTTATTCGCCAGACTGGATTCGCGCTGGCTCCCTCGCCAGATTGCCCCCGTTTGCCAGATTGGGCCTGCCAGATTGGCGCCAGATTGGCTTCGACTACCCAGCGAGGGCCGCCGCACATCCCCGAGCTCTCGGGAGGCATCCCGAGCCGCTCGCAGCACGGCGCCGTCCTCGCCCGGGCCTCTCCGCGGGCGGCCTCTCTCCCGCTCCGCGGGCCCTCCCTGCCGCCCTTTGCCCGCCATCGGAGCTCCGACGCGGCGAGAAAAACTCCTCCTCCTCTCTCCTCCGTCCTCCCTCCTCCTCCTCCTCCTCCTCCTCCTCCTCCTCCTCCTCCTCCTCCTCCCGGCGGAGAGTCACGACCAGGGCCCCGGACCCCATCTTTCTGCGGCACGCTTCGAGCCGGACCGAGCTGCTGTGGCCACTGGCGCCCGAGGCCCGGCGAAAAAATGCACGCCTGATCGCCGCTGGATCGCCGGTGTGTGAGCAGCCAGTTCCCCCCCCCCAACGTTCCCCTTCAACCTCTCTCTCGCCTCTCCCTCGCCTCTCTCTCCCTCGCCTCTCTCTGCCTCTCCGCCTCTCTTCATCCTCTCTTTGCCTCTCCCTCGCCTCTCTCTGCCTCTCTCTGCCTCTCCCCTCTCCCCTTCATCCCCCCCCCCCCACGTTCCCCTTCATCCTCTCTCTCCCTCTCCCTCGCCTTTTTTTGCCAACCATCCTTTGGCGTTGAGTCTGCGTTTTGAAGCGACAGTGCCCCGCGCCTCACCTCACCTCACCTCCCGCGCTCCTCCCCCTCCTCCCTCCTCCCATCCCTGCCTCTGCTCCCCCTGTGGCGTCATCACCATCAGTATCGTGGGCAGCATCGCCATCATCGGCGTCATCAACATCGCCATCGTCAGCGTCGTGCCTCTGTTCTCCGCGTGTCCACAATTTCGGCGCACCCCTCACACGTTTCGTAGCCACCCGCTTCGAAACCAGTGGTTGCTTATGAAGATGTGTTGGATTTTCCCCAACCATCCTGTGGTGTTGGGTCCTCGTTTCGAAGAGACAGCGCCCCGCCGCTCACCTCACCTCACCTCACCTCCCGCTGCCCCTTCCTCCCTCCCCGCGGCCCCTCCCCCCCTTCTCCCGCTCCTTGCCTCTGGTCTCCGCAGGTCCATCATGTCGGCACACCCCTCGCACGTATTCGCGGCCCCATAGGGAGCTCCACCGAAGGCTCCAGTGGCACAGGCCGAATTCAACGCCACCCAGGACAGCGTTCCGTAGCCCCGTAGGGAGCTTCACCGAAGGCTCCAGTGGCACAGGCCGCATGCGTCAACGCTTCCCAGGACAGCGCTTTGTGGCCCCGTAGGGACCTCCACCGAAGGCTCCAGTGGCACAGGCCGCATGCGTCAACGCTTCCCAGGACAGCGATTCGTGGCCCCATGGGGAACTCCACCGAAAGGCTCCAGTGGCACAGGCCGCATGCGTCAACGCCACCCAGGACAGCGCCTTGTGGCCCCGTAGGGACCTCCACCGAAGGCTCCAGTGGCACAGGCCGCTTGCGTCAAGCGCTTCGTGGCCCCGTCGGGAGCTCCACCGAAGGCCACAGTCTATATTCGTCAACGCCATCCAGGACAGCGCTTCGTGGCCCCATAGGGAGCTCCACCGGAGGCTCCAGTGGCACAGGCCGCATGCGTCAACGCCACTCAGGACAGCGTTCCGTGCCCCATAGGGAGCTCCACCGAAGGTTCCACTGGCACAGGCCGCATGCGTCAACGCCACTCAGGTCAGCGCTTCAGGTCCCCATGGGGAGCTCCACCGAAGGCTCCAGCGGCAGGGTCCGCATGCGTCGACGCCACCCAGGGCAGCGTTTCGTAGCCCCGTAGGGAGCTCCACCGAGGACTCCAGTGGCACAGGCCGCATGCGCCAACGCCACTCAGGACAGCGCTTGGTGGCCCCATAGGGAGCTCCACCGAAGGCTCCAATGGCAGGGTTCACACGCGTCAACGCCATTCATTTCGGCGCACCCCTCACACGTTTCGTAGCCACCCGCTTCGAAACCAGTGGTTGCTTATGAAGATGTGTTTGGTTTTCCCCAGCCATCCTGTGGTGTTGCGTCTCCGCTTTGAAGAGACAGCGCCCCGCCGCTCACCTCACCTCACCTCCCGCGCTCCTCCCCCTCCTCCCTCCTCCCATCCCTGCCTCTGCTCTCCTTGTGGCGTCATCACTATCATTACCGTGGGCAGCATCGCCATCATCGTGGGCACCATCGCTATCATCGGCGTCATCAACATCGCCATCGTCAGCGTCGAGCCTCTATTCCTTCCTCCCTCCCCGCGGCCCCTCCCCCCCTTCTCCCGCTCCTTGCCTCTGGTCTCCGCAGGTCCATCATTTCGGCACAGACCTCGCGCGTTTTCGTGGCCCCATAGGGAACTCCACCGAAGGCTCCAGTGGCACAGGCCGCATGCGCCAACGCCACCCAGGACAGCGTCTCGTAGCCCCATAGAGAGCTCCACCGAAGACTCCAGTGGCACAGGCCGCATGCGCCAACGCTTCCCAGGACAGCGCTTTGTAGCCCCATCGGGAGCTCCACATAAGGCTCCAGCGGCACAGGCCGCATGCATCAACGCCGCCCAGGACAGCGTTTCGTGGTCTCATTGGGAGCTCCACCGAAGCCGTCATTGGCGCAGTTCGCATGCGTCTCCCCCACCCATGACAGTGCTTCGTTGCCCCATAAAGGGGCTTCAACGAAGGTCCCAAAGGCGTAGTTCGCATGCGTCTCCCCCAGCCATGACAGCGTTTCGTGGCCACATAGGGAGCTCCACCGAAGCCGTCATTGGCGCAGTTCGCATGCGTCTCCCCCACCCATGACAGTGCTTCGTTGCCCCATAAAGGGGCTTCAACGAAGGTCCCAAAGGCGTAGTTCGCATGCGTCTCCCCCAGCCATGACAGCGTTTCGTGGCCACATAGGGAGCTCCACCGAAGCCGTCATTGGCGCAGTTCGCATGCGTCTCCCCCACCCATGACAGTGCTTCGTTGCCCCATAAAGGGGCTTCAACGAAGGTCCCAAAGGCGTAGTTCGCATGCGTCTCCCCCAACCATGACAGCGTTTCGTGGCCACATAGGGAGCTCCACCGAAGGCCCCAGTATCACCGTTCGCATGCGTTTCCCCCACCCAGGACAGCGCTTGGTGGCCCCATGGGAGCTCCACCGAAAACCCCAGTGGCACCGTTCACATGCGTCTCCCCCGCCCAGGACAGCGTTTTGTGGCCCCAGAGGTAGCCCCACCGAAGGCTCCAGTGGCAGGGTCCGCATGCGTCACCGCCACCAGTGGCGCAGTTCGCATGCGGCTCCCCCACCCAGGACAGCGCTTCGTGGTCCCATAGTGAGCTCCACCGAGGGTCCCAGTGGCGCAGTTCGCATGCGTCTCCCCCGCCCATGACAGAGTTTCGTGGCCCCTCCACTCAGGACAGCGCTTCGTGGCCCCATAGGGAGCTCCACCGAAGGCCTGAGTGGCGGTGTCCACATGCGTCCGCGCCACCGATTTCTGCGCACCCCTCACACGTTTCGTGGCTCCAAAGGGAGCTTCACCGAAACTGGTACCCACAATACGGTACTCGCAACTGCATATGGTTGGGTTATTCGTCCGTTTTTTTGTGTTCTCTCTCTCTCTCTCTGACCAGCGCTGCTGTGCAGAGGGCGGTGCTGGACAGAGTGTCAGGTAGTGGCGTACAGTGCGTTTCAGAATCCGGTCCTTTACCTAGGCTCGATCTGGCCTAGGGCTTGAGTTCGATTCGATGATCCTTCTTCCCCTCGACCTCGAGTTGTTCCCGGCGAGGCGTTCGGGAACAAA